GACTAGATTAAAAAATTCAATTAATATTAGAAATCAGTTTAAAATGAAATTCGTAAGTTAAAACAATAAAGAAAACACTTCATTACGTATAAGTTTAAATTGCAGGCCCATGCCAGTGTTACCTTTGGATATGACTTTATTTGACGTAAATGATGCTATAAAAACTAAAAAAAAAAAACATTATAGATACGCATGAGTATTTTGACACTGAATATTACCACCATGTATTAAACTGGTGCACGTTACTTCTGTTAGGGTCACAAAGTCCTCCAAGTTCTTATAACAAATTAATACCTCTGGGGGTACTCATCCAGGAGCTCCCTTGTCTTCTGGATTAGAAGTAAAATTACATGGATACGGAGTTGAACATTTGCTGTCTTAAACACAGAATTGAATCGGTTGTTCAACGTCGGTTATGAAGTAAAATAAAATTAATGAAATAAGAATTTCAGTTTGAAAAATACTGAATTTAATGATATTTTTAAGGGAAATCTGAAATTACGATGTTTTTGCTAACCCCTAAAGTAGGTTCCAAAACTGAAATATTTGATATATCAACATTTTAAGAGAAAGAGAATACTTTTAGATTTTTAACAATGTGCTAGGGGTGTATTATGCACAATGATATTAGTATGGCAAAGACTTCATCTTCCATCACCTGAATTGACAGTGTTGCAATCCCATAGAGACCGACTGACCAAAAGGTGTAGTTCAATCTTACAGAGCTCCATTCTAGTATAATATAGTGAAAATATATTCCAATAATCTATAGGAATCTAGTAGACATACTAGCATGAAAATGATATGCGTTAGACTGTTTTATATATTTTTTGACTATGATGCATATCAGCTAATATTAAGTCATGCTTTTGATTTTTTTTCTGTAAACGATTCCAATAGGATAAACAAACTCTTTGGCTGTTATTATCCTGGTCTTGAGTCTTTTCTCAGTGACCCTACATTCCTTTCAAAACAATAGGACTGGATTCATTGCTTTAAAATAATCATTATAACTTTTCAACGTACTGACTGGTCATTAGTATAGCCACTCTAGATTCCACAATAAACTTCAACCAACATAAAATAAAACAAAAATATTTTTATTAAACGAAAACAACATATATATACAGTATTAAATATAACTACTTGGGGCTAAAAAGAAAATTATTCTGGTTGAAAAAATCAGAACAAGCCTGTCAACATTTTATAAATAAACTTAATAGCTCTTTTTTACATTAATTTCAATTCTTCTCTGAATTATTGCTCCAGCATTGAATGATAAGTTGACTCTAATATTCCTTTTCTTCAAATTGAGTGGAACAGGAAAAAAATAAAAAAACAGTAATTGATATACATTATAGTAACCAATATCCCAGAGCTGATAGAGTAAAATTTTGTTGTTAATTTTATAGTTTTAAAGAGAAAAAAGTGGATATATATAATCTGGAAACTTCTCAGATGCTGTGGATGTAGTTTTGTTGTGACAAGCGGTAACCAACATAAAAGCTTAGATTGTTCTTTGTTTTCATCAAGCTTAAATAAAAAAAATTGCTTAAGAGCATAGCGTTGATTGCGAGGTTTTGAAGTTTATGTTGACGAGTGGATGCCAGTGCTTTATCTAGACTTTTATTTTATATAGGGTTCAATGCATTCTGTATTTTAATATACTAGTGGGCTGCGCCCCCTGCTCGCTAATGGTCGCCAACCCCCGAAAATTGCTACGCAGTCTTATATGGTTTGCTTCGCTCGCTACTAACTTAAGTACATTGCAAATGCACAAAATTCTAAGAATTCAAAACAATCATTCAAATCCATATAACAACTTTAAAAAAAAAATTGCATCTTTTCAGTAAATACTAAGTCATTAAAATAAATTTGAATTCAAATAAATGACATGTAATTCGTTAAACCTACTGGAAATGTGCTATAGTATAAAATTTCTAAAACTGATATCTCTTTATGATATCTCTT